AGGGAGCAACACAGTCCATTATGACACTTGTTCAAGCCTGTTCAACTGACTACCAGTAGGACAGTACAGCCACACACAATACTAATAATTTCATATAAAATTACTGGTAATGCGGAACTTCTGTCTGTGCTTGCTGTTGTAATTTCTGCCAGATTACAAGAAATGTGTGGCAAATTTCCTTTTTTTGTTTTAATTCATGTCGTCTCAGGCAGAATGTGGAAAAAGACAAGGTTCAATACAGAAAGAGAAGGATATGGACCTGCTGTTTAACTGTGGAGTGGAGGAGATAAAAATGTCTTAATTTTTAAACATTGTTTCACACACGTACAGATAAGCTGTATAAAGAACTGGATTGTGGGTAAGAACAAGGACACTTCTGTCTAGATCTGCAAAACAGAAGTCTAATGAGGAAGTGAGCTGGACCACTGGGTTTACTCTAATGAAAAGGTCCTCTTCATTATCACTATTCTGGTGTGTGTGTGTGTGTAGGTTAGGTCTTTTTTATGTTTGTTTTAAACAAAGTATGGTGGAACAAACAAACTCTAGAACTAATATTATCCTGTGACCATTACCATACCCACAAGTATATCCTATTTTTGAACATGGTTGAGATCAGACATGCTAGTTTCACAGGCTACAGCTGAAGTGCATAAGTTATTTATGAGCATGATGTGTTTGTGTAAACCTATGTGGTTTATCATGGCTTCTGTCTGTTCATACATCTAAGTCAGGGGTGAGCCAAACTCAGCAGGACAGTGGCTGTCCAGGGGCAGGTTTGGATCCCTTTTCTACAAAATGCTGTACGAAAGCTATGTACATACAAAAAAACATTTTGTGTTATGACTACTGTTGCATTTGTTCTGGACACTTCGGTTTGATACTGCAGTCATTGTTTGAAGTTGCATGATCAACAAACAGTAAAGTCTGATTGAGATGATTGTTTGCTCCTTTATCTGTTGCTGGTTTGAGTGGCACACACACACTCTTCAAAAGAGATTAATTTATAAGACAATAATGCATAATGAAATTGTGTGCCTTGAATTCATTCAGGTGTGTTCGACAATCACTAAACCTGTGACATGAAAACTCTGTTTGTATGATAATTTGTTAGAAATTCTTAACCCTCTACTGCACAGTGTTGCCATATGGCAACATACCCTTTCTTTGGACATTTCTTAAAATTTGAAAATAAACATGAGCTCTGACTGATCTTAAATTCATAATAGAACCTGGTGGTAACCAATGATATGCTTTGATGACATCACGACACTACACACACCCTTGCAACGTCATTCTTTTCACACACTTTTGATGACTCCAGCTGCTGAAAAAGTGCTCGTGTATATGTGAAGATTTTCCTAATTTTTTTTCATATTTCTTCAGAATAAAAAAATACATCAAGCATCTGGGATAAGTTCTAATCTTTTTTCAATCATTGTCACATTGTTTTGATACTTATATTACCTTTTTATTTAATAAAATAGGTATGTTGCCATATGGCAACATTGTGCGGTAATGGAACAATATTTTGCCCATGCTAATGCAGAGTAGCTTTGTATGAATGACAATGTATGGATGCACTGATATAGTTGGATGGTTGTATTCTACTCATATATTTATATATATTTGTATATATTTATAAAGTAAAGTAAAAGTAAAGTATAAAAGTAAAATATATATCCGTCTTGACCGCTTTGATCACTGGCCAGAGATGGGTGCACCAAAAGGAAGGTGCAAGAATCCTGGCTGCAAGGGCATCGTCAGAGGGGTTTGCTCTAAGTGCAAGGTGCACCTCTGCCTTAAAGGTGGGGTTATGTGATTTGCAAAACGGCCGGCAGATTTTGAAAATACACAACTCCAAAAGGTCCTACCTTCTTTCCTCCAACGCTGGCCCTGACTCCACCCACTCCACCCATTCGAAGAGGGGCATGGGGGAGGGGGGTATGGTACGACCGTCTGATTGACGCACTTACTGTCCAATGATTCTAGGTGATCTTGGAAATGATTGGCTGGAGTTTTTCGAGTCCTGCCCGTTCCACAGATGATTACATTTTTTAATTTTCATGTCAGTGCTTCTAATTCAGTGGCTGTAAGTGGGTTAGGAATAGGATTTCAAGTGATTTTAAAAAAATGGTCAAAAAAGAAAATCACATACCCCACCTTTAACGGAGAGAACAACTGCTTTAAGGTGTTTCACATCGAGTAGTTTCACTTGAACAGTTCTTATGAGTTTGCGTCAGATGTTTTGTAAATGTTGTTGAAATAATCGTTTCACATTGAGTAGTTTCACTTGAACAGTTCTTATGAGTTTGCGTCAGATGTTTTGTAAATATTGTTGAAATAATACTTTGAAAATTAGTTTCATATTTTGTACACAAAGCTCTTGAAAACATTTTAAATAATAAAAACAATTTCATTTCTAAAAGACAGGTCTGTAATCATCTATGAATTTCATGTCATTTTGGGAGAAAAAGCATCAGGCTGTTCCATTGTCGCACAATGTTGCCATATGGCAACGTACCCAAAAGTACCCCCCCCCCCCCCCCCCAAAAAAAAAAAAAAAAAAAAAGAAATGTTAATTTGAGTCTATTTTATATATAAAAAAACACTGTAAATTTTTTTCCATGATTGCAAAATAATGCGTGCAGTAGAGGGTTAATTGTATATTTTAGAAAACTGAATAGTCTGGAAACACATTTATCCATACTTCTCCAGAACTGAAAATCACTCAAATCAAATTCCATAATTTTCTAAACTGCATAGGAACCCTGTTTTATTCTGCAAGGATGCTTTAAATTGATCAAAAGTGACAGTTATGACATTTATGTTTCAAAAGACTTCTATTTCAAATAAATGTTGAAACAAGAGCTTTTGAATTGGTAACGGTTTTCACAAACACATTAAGCAGCACAAATGTTTTCAACATCGATATTAATTAAATTATTCTTGAGCATCAAATCAGTATATTAGAATGATTTCTGAAGGATGATGTGACACTGAAGACTGGAGTAATGATGCTGAAAATTCAGCTTTGCCATCACAGGAATATAAATTATTCAAACAGAGAAGTGCTATTTTAAACTGTTATAATATTTCACAATATTACTCTGGTACACTGCATTTTTTGTAAGACTTTTTGCATAGACTTCTATCGTGTCAACAGAAAGGTAATCATAATTGTAACAGTACAGCTAAAACTGTAACCCTAAACGAAAACTTACAATTTTAGTATTATGAAAGATAAGAGCAAACTTCCTTAAAAAGAAAAACCCTAAATCAAGACATCCCTGAATGTCTACAAAGGGAGATTTTGTCACATTTTGCACAACTTTGGGGGAGAATTTGTGTGCACACAAGTGCACGCGCACACACACACACACACACACACACACACACACACACACACACACACACACACACACACACACACACACACACACACACACACACACACACACACACACACACACACACACACACACACACACACACACACACACACACACACACACACACACACACACACACACACACACACACACACACACACACACACACACACACACACACACACACACACACACACACACACACACAGACAGTCAGAGAGATAGAGAAAGAAAAGAGATCCACTATAAGTTCAGGTGTAACAGTAGGGAATTTACTTCCTTTGGTGTTTGCAAAAAAAAAAAAAAAAAAAAATCTAGTTTACAAATGCCTCTGCTATTTACTATGCTGACAGAACACTTAACTCATTAAAAATCCATTTCTAATAAATAGCAATTCAGTGCAGATATCAATTTACACTTCACTGATTTAAAGAGGAAAATGAAAATGAAATAAACTTGACCAGAGGCACAGACAAAAAACCCTACAAAATACGATGTGACAGAGACAAATAAAATTTGCTTTGTTTGCAGATAAGATCTGAAATGGAAGTGAAAGACACACCTGCTACTGCTGACTTGTCTTCATCTTAATAAAAAAACAAAAACCTCTTGAGATCATTTTGTTTGCCTTACATATAGCACATCGTGTACAAACAAAACTTGATGAGGCCAGTGGAAAATAAAATAGAGGACAAAAGCACTACTGGAATATTTGCATCAGAGCTGCACAACATTTTTGCTTGGGTTAAAAACATGACAACATTTCAAAGGACTACATCACACAACGACATTCTTGGAATGTCTCAAAAACGACTCGACAGAATAAATTCCAAGCACACACACACACACACGCACACACACACAAAATCCATTTCAAAGTTGCTTCACTCAATCTTCACTCAAAACCTCTGCTACATTAAACTGAGTGAGGCACTTGGAAAGAGTGGTTTCAAACTAATCTGCTAGTGACTAAAACCAACCCTCCTACAGATCTAAAAAGCTGTGATCAGTGGCACCTCCTTCCTACAACATCATTCCCAATTAATGTATAAAAGCTTGCCTAAAAGTGTGATTCAAAGCGTCAGCACAATATGCGTGTATTGCTTATACGGTACAATGGACGAACAAACAGGATGACAAGAAACAGAGTTTGAAAACTCACTCCCTGTGTCTTGGAAAGAAGTTTCTGGCTGAGCACTAACTGAATTCTCACGCACATCTACTGTCACACTATAGGACAAGGTGAGCAGAGTTACCAAAATGCAGATTAGACTGAAATGGCAAACATGAACATATTGAAATGAAAAAACAAAAAAACAAGCACACATTTAGCGGAACACGAAAAATCTTAATTCTCAATCTTAATTAAAATCTGTCTTGCAAGCTAAAATTGTCATCCCATACACACTATACTTAGTACACTGTACGCAGTGTTACACACTACACTTCACTAGTACTTCAACCACAGGATTTGTGCTTGTAAACACTATAAAAAAAAAACAAAAACTTTTTGATATAAATATATACATTTGTTTACTTATAAAAAGCTACTTCGCGCTTCGACTTCTTCACAGCAAATATATAGACATCTTTCACCTTTTTTCCCCTTCATTTTGTCCATCTATGAACTAAGATTTCCCTGGATCTTGGCAAAAAGATTCTAGGTAAGGCTATAGAAACCTAGCACCTAATGGTAAATGGGCGGGATTTGCGAATGTAGCTTCACTGCTCTATGGTAGGCTGGTGATGTCACGTTTGGGTGGGGGTCCATCGGGTTTACAGCTGCTTCCGTTAGCTTTGTCTTCAAACATCATAACCCTGTAGAAGAGAAGAGGAAATTTCTTCAGGAAAGCAAGAGAAGAGGAAAGTAATTCAATTTCAACCATCAGATCTAAAATATTCCAGAACAAGGATGTAGATATATATTATATGCAAACTTTGCAAAATGAATTTAAATAAATTAACTTCTCTTGGCACCTAGGAGTAATCAGAACCTTGATTTAAAGTGGAAAATCAAATGTCAACATATTAGAAACATTTATGGTAAACTATTTAAGCCATTAGATTTGCAAGTATTTTTATGTGTAAGTTTAATCTCCCAACCACTACAAGGGAATGTAAGTGTGTCCATTAACTTCTGGTCTGTCAGAAAACCCAAAAAGGCACCTTAAAAACAAAATTAGCTTTAAACGTTTGTTTGAATTATCAATTGAATATGCATAATAACTTAACACTATTAAGTCAACTGTAATTTAGATATAATATAATAATAAAACATGCTATCACAGAGGTCACCATGTATAATATGTACATACACGTTAGGCACATAAGGGTTCTATGTCTAACTACAGGTATTTAAGAACACCACACACAGGGAGTTAAAATGCATTGAGATCGCAGCAATCGCAGCTTCCCACTGAGCAAAACAAGTAGATTTGTAAAGAAAGCTAGATATCATAATTACACTGCAAGAGAAAAGAAATTGGACCATCTTGAGGAGCCACAAAGCCTGGATCAGACAAAACCCTGCTGTTTTGGAGATATGAGATAAAAGTGAGAACAGAGGATGACCGTGACGGTGAAGAACTGCTGACCGATCTATTCAGACCATGTGACTTTCTGTTTCAGGTAAACCTTGAAAATCTCTCATAAGCCCTTGACAAGCCCTAAGTCAACTAACAGCTAGTCACAAATCACCCATTCACAATGTGTAGGATTATAGGATTTGAACACAACTTCAGCACATAATTCACCTGATAGAGTTACGGACAGAAACCATAACACAAATTGTGCAGTTTACTGAAGAGAGGTATGCAATTAATTTCAAAATGTCACGCATACCAACTTCCGCCAGATGCACTATAAAACGTATCATACAGGATTCCTTTGTGTTATCCTAACTGTAGCATCTGCTAAATGTTGCCCGCATTCTCCACCATGTCTACCACAATCATATCGGTTTCATTTAACTCTGCTATGGGTATTTACTTGTGATTCAACATACAGCATGGCACCTCCAATGGCTGTTCCACCAGCATGTTCTGTACTGTGATTCTCAAATCTGAGCACTTTTGTGTGAGAGACTTCTAAACTCCAGTCTGTGTGTCCACTAAAAAGCCTTGTGAAAACGGCTTAAGATGGTTTCAATGAATCATGAAACTTGGCACAAACTAGTAGGGGTGCTCCGATCAGGATTTTTGGGGCCGATCACCGATCGCCGATTACTGGAAGCTGTATCACCCGATACCGATACCGATCACCGATTACAGGGTCTATTCGAAGACTTCTTTTTATCATGTAGCATTACTTATTAAACTATATTTAACAACAATGTACATTAAGTATTACATTTAAGAGAAGACAATGCATCATGAATTGACACCTGTGTATTTATTTGCAAGCAACATGTATTAACATAGCAGCTTGGTTATTGGGAGCAGCTTAGGGCTTGACATACAACTTTCCTGTAGAATATAAAATAAAATTAATAAAAGACAGAACATCTAAGTCTTTAAATTTAGCTTTAGACTACTTTAAACTAAAAACAGCAACAAAAAAGGCTATAGCCAAAATAATGTTTTGAGTCAGTCAGCCATCAGTTTTTCTAATACACTTAAAGGACCACAGGTAGTAAAGTGCACAGCAACAAAAAACAAAACAAAAAAACCCTAACAACTTCCATATCTGTATCTATAACTTTGCTTTTTTCTGGGATGCTTAGTCAGATTTTGTGGGCATTTAGAGAGGAAGAGAAACCTTTTTTTTTGTGTGTGTGTGTTTGTGTGAAGAACCCTTGCAAAATTATTTTAAACAGATTAAGAAAGCCACCACTGCTGGTCACATCTATGGTTAGATTGATTTTTTTTAGATACAGTGAAGTCTGTCCCACCATGTACCTAATATAAATAAATAAAACATCTTCAGTTAACTAGCAGATCATTCATTTAGTTCGCTATTAAATAAGAAATCTAGCGCTAAAATGTGTTTTTGAACTCAAGCTGCGCGCTCGTTGCCGCGGCGATCAGTGTCATGGATACAGTGCTCTGTGCCTCACACAGTCTTCACTCGGACGCGCGCTTCAATCTATCGCCGTTGCGGACTATTCATTCCGGTGTAATCACGAAATAAAACCAAGCGGCAACCTCCCTGTCTCTCTCTTGAAACCAACACGGAAGTGAATTAAACTGCAATTCATCTACTGACCGCTTGAGGCTGGAGGCAGAAGTGAGTCAAATCTGTACCTCCCCCATGTTAAAATGCCCAACTTTACAGCAGAAAAAAAACATGTTTACAGCCTGGAGCAAAAAGTGGTTTTAGTCTTTATAGCTTATTTTGCCCTTCATGACAACTGTGAGGGGGGTGAATTTTTTTACAACTCATCCGTTTAAATTATATTAGGCCTGCATAATTAAGGGCGTGGCCACTTGAGTGACAGGCGGATTGCGGCCGTTTGTCTGCTGTCTGATAGCGTCACTCTCAGCTAATTCCAGCAGGTGCTGTACTTGCCATCTCTGCCGTGTTTGTGGTTTTTCGGGATTATTTCATACAATTTAATACACACATTATACCTTCGCCCACGCCGTTGGATTCCGTTGTTGTCAAGTATGGAGCATAGACTGGTATGGAGAGGCGCTGTATTTCCAGTTGTTTTCCTCGCATGCACCAACGTTAATGGATGTCAGACAATTTCTTTGCTAAAAACGTCTATAGATATAGAGACCACACTCGTTATGCGGTACTAATGCTCTCACGGAACAGATAAGCTTGTTTAACTTTTTAGTGTTAAATAAAAAGTACCGTCAGATAAAATCCTGCAGGTGTCATGCTTTCTCTCCGTCCATGCAATAGATGCACACACTTGAATGAGCGCGGGTTTCTAGTGCATTTACTTGAACTACTGAGGTAATATCTTTGGTTTAACCCATTTGAGAAATTGAGAGGCGGCCAAAATGGACTGAATAAAGCTCTTTACGAACTTGACGTGCGATGCCATGCTGACTGACATGTATGCGCATGAATCACTGTCACACCCACAAGTTTAGAGCAATATTGTAAGTTACTGCATGATAATACATTTTTACAGCAGAATAACAATACATCATACACAGTCTCACTTTTAGTTACGTCTTTTAACTATTAGAATATTTCGAAGGGCAAAAACATGAACTATTGGCTTTTATTCTTCAATCAGCTGTCACTTTAACGCAAGGCCAGTAGCATATAGCATTAGCACCTCAGCTCCACCCACGTCCCGCCTCTTTGCCCATTTTATTTTATCCGGTAGTGACGAGAGGTGACGCGCTGCCAAGATGGCGACGGCTGGCCCCGCCCACTTTAGGCTTCAAAAACTCTCTTTAGAAACCTACGGGTGACGTCACGGACACTACGTCAATATTTTTTTACAGTCTATGAATAAAACACAAACGTATCCTTGCTTGATATAACTGTAACCGCTGATGAACATACATACAACATACATTTTTGTCATTGGTTGTTGCGTTAAATCTTACCCAGATCAGTGTTTCCGCTACATTCATTCTGCCGTGGCGAGCCGCCACACCTAAAATCATCCCGCCACGGCTGCAGCTTCTCGGTCCGATATTGTATGTGTTATTGTTAAGCCCCACTAAAGGCATACAAAACATTGTAAAGCACCATAAAGTTTTCGCACTATATTCCAAGACTTCTAAAGTCATTCAATAGCATAATGTGAGGTAAAAATGTATATTTAAGTCGTTAAAGTTAAAGTTAATGGAAACTCATCTCTCCTCAGTCATTCTCCATTCAGCATTCAAACAGCACGTGACGTGCTGCGGTTCGGTTACAACAGTTCGGTTCGCTTCGGTTACAACAGTAACACGACGACACTCTCTTCAAGATCAATGTTCCCATTATTATACTTTATTTGTAGATAAAGGTCTATAGTTTTCATAAAATTACTTTATCTTGCTGGAGTTTATAGCGCTTTCTAAATCATATTCCTTTCTACTGGGTGTCTGTTACTACAGCACTAGAGTAGAGAGCACTATGAATTGTTCTTCACGCGCACTGTAAGTTAACTGAAATTTAAAACTGTTAAAAGAAAAGGCTCAATAAACTGTTGCATAGATATAATACATTAAGCATAGATAGATATAGTCTCTTCGCTTTGTGCTTTGAACTTCTCAATGCGAAGCGCTGCGCGCTGTGACTTCGCGTTGCTTCAAGTGCATCATTCTGCGCACGGGATGCGCATAATCGAGACACCCCTCGCTGCAGCCTGTAGCACGATGACGTAGCTGGATGGTCCAATACGTATTGGATGGAGGTGTGTTTTGCTGACGTCATATACGCATGCGCAGTGTCGATCTCTGGATTATAATTCGCATGCGCTGGTTTTAAGTGACATGTATGCTCAATATTGTACTGATATGATGTTCTAACCTGTGTAGTATAGTACTGCTAAATAGTAATTATTGATAAATAAGTAATTATTTACATAAATGGGATGCTTATCCGAGTTTCACACATAGGCTATGCAAAATAGTTAATTTTACAACATTTTAAAATCACATGATTTTAAACCTAAATTTGTTAGATTAATAGCATGTCCTCAGCACCGCAAGTTTTTTTTTTTTTTTTTTTTTTTTTTTAAAGCCATTTTATTTTATTCAGGTCACATTTGCTGTTGAGTGGAAGCAAAAATGAATCAAGTAGCCTAATTGTCTTTGTAATTTTAAAGGTACAATACAATAAAGTCTGTAAACATTTTAAGATACCAGTACACATTCAAGGGAAAATGCAAAAATAATAACAGCATCAAGAAAATAAATCTTGTCAGATGTAAAAAAAAAAAAGGAAAAAAAGTGCTTGATATTTTGCCTGGTAAGAGTTCCTTCTTTAATGGCTATAGCCTACTCATTTTTCCACAGTGATCTGTTGCCTACGGTTCCTCTTAATTTGCTGTTCAGTGTCTGCAATATGGTAGGCTATAGAAGCTTGTTTTCGCCACAGAGTGAGAAATAAAAAAGGTAACTTTTTATCTCACTACTCTGACTTTTTATCTCAGAATTGAAGTCAGAATTGCGTGATATAAAGTCGCAATTGCGTGTTAAGTCAGAATTATGAGATATAAACTCGCAATTGCGAGGCTTGAAATTCTGGCTTTATAATATAGCCTACGCAAATTGGAGATATAGGCTAAAGTCAGAATTGCATGATATAAAGTCTCAATTGTGTGTTATAAAGTCAGAATTGTGAGAGAACTATTCTGAGGTAAAATTTGACTTTATAACTCGCAATTGCGAGTTTATATCTCACAATTCTAAGAAAATATGTCAGAATTGATAGATATAAAATCTTAATTATGTGTTATAAATTCAGAATTGCGAGAAAAGTCAGAATTTCGACTTTATAATACCAATTGGGAGATATAAAGTCAGAATTGCATGATAAGTCGCAATTGCGTGTTATAGCCTACAGTCAGAATTGTGAGATATTAAACCATTCTGAGGTTAAAAAAATAAGTCATTTTTTCCCTTAGAATTTGACTTTATAATTCGCAATTGCGAGTTTGTCACAATTATGAGAAAAAATGTCAGAATTGGGAGACGTAAACTCCCAATTATGTAGGCCTATTATAAATTCAGAATTCTGACTTTATTTCACGCAATTCTGACTTTATAACATGCAATTGAGACTTTACATCTTGCAAACTGACTTTATTTATCAGAATTGTGAGATATAGTCAGAACTGCGTTAAATAAACTCGCAATTGTGAGGAAAAAGTCGCAATTATATATTTTTAAATGTTTTATTCTGTGGCGGAAAAGAGCTTCCATACTCAAGTGACCATTTATATTTAACTTACTTTATTCTTCTTGGAAGATCAAAGCACGTGCGATCGTTCACCAACTCTCTACTCTCTCTACACCTACTCTAATAGAATCCATTCTTAATGCGCATATGAACGCCATCAGCGTTTATCACAGGTTCTTAAACATTATTTAAGAACCGCTATAAAGCCAAAACAATCTCATTTACCTTAAATTATATGTTTATCTCTGCTTTGAAACAATCTACATTGTTAAAAGCGCTATAAATGAAGTTGACTTGACTAGTGCGCATGCGTCTATGACGTCACCAAAACACACCTCCATCCAATACGTATTGGACCATCCAGCTACGTCATCGTGCTACAGGCTGCAGCGAGGACCTCTTGGCATAATCGCTTTGCCGCTCTTATTGGCGCCTTTCATGTAATAATGCTTAGGGGAGGTTTAAACACCTGGGATAAGGGGGCGTGGCCAATGGGAATATCACTCATGGGCCACGCCCCCTCCCCCTGCCACCACGGCTGGAAAAAATCCTAGAGGAAACACTGCAGATACAATAGTGCTATTTTCTGATTGGCTATTGTGTAGCTCGACGAACAACACCCGAGGAAACGCGCTTGATTCATGCCGGTTCCACAGTAAGAGCGGCGCGGCCAGAGTTTTGGCCGCTGCAGCATATTAAATATATTACAAATAGTTTTTCAGCGTGAGAAATACAATGTGTGGCGGGAGAGCGTGACAAAAGACCGAAATGAGTGACTGTCACGATCAATGCTTGACACTTGAGAGCCCTGTTGTAGAATTGCCAGACCGGTGAAGCCATTTTTACCAGGGCGTAAAAAAATTGTCTCGCGAGTTTTGCGTATTCTGATCGGCTTTTCTGGATTGGCCTTTATAGAGACCGCCGATCACAAATCCCAAAGCAATTATCGGCCGATTATGATCGGCGACCGATCAATCGGAGCACCCTTACAAACTAGTGTTTGTCGCAGACAACTTTAAACTACAACCATGGCTTTCACAAAAAAGAAACTTAAAACAAGAAGTTGAAGGTTTTGTTCATCGCTTCCACTGAGACTAGGGAGGTGTTCAAGGGTACCCGTGCCAACTTGGACAACATCTACACTTGTGTCACTGACAGCTATAATTAGGGATAGCTGTATCTCCTAACCCACCCAACAAGATGCACGTGTGTGCACACAAATGTTACTGTATACAAGTGTGTCCAGGTGAAAAAAAAATCATTTATCACAAAAAATTACATATCACCATTTGCATTTTAATTTTAAGTAGGGATACTCTGATCAATTGGCCGCATTTCGATATCGGCCAATAATCACATTCTATGACTCGACTGGTAGGCACTAAATTTGGCCGACCTCATGAGCCGATCGCTATTTGATGATGTAACAGCAAAAAGTTGCCACTGACGTGCATGTAAACAGTAAACAGATGGGGCTTTTGGGCCACGTTCTGCTTTGTAACTTTGCGAAACATTAGTAAACCACAATAAATCGCACAACTTTATTTAGTGCAGGTTGTCTCGACACACATCATAACATGATGCATAGATCTTAAGAAAATCCTCACAGAGTGACATGACATGCTGCTGGCTAAAGCTAAAGGACTTCCAGGATCTGATCTTGTTGCGATCATGACACAGTGTTTTCCAACATAATTTAAAAGTTCAACCAATGTAAACTGGATCTCAGGTTTGGTGGGTAGAGAGTCGGGACGATGTGTCGAGACCAACCAGACACTGTTTTATAGCTAGAGTGCGCTTAGATTGCTTTGATCGCTCAGATTGACAGGTCTTGATTTGCCATATGCCATGGAATAGGAGCACACAGCTGAAACAGCACTGGAAGATCATCACTCATCAACCAGGATCTTATTACTTGTTATTTATATGCAATTATAAATATTTTTATGCTTAATGGCATTTACACATGTAACTTCAGTTATGTTTTACTTGTTTGGAAAGGTTTTTGGACTTTTGATAAAACGGCTACCATGGTTCCAAATGCCATGTAACTTTTGATTGCTTTAAGATATCAACACAACATTTGGCCCAGATGCAATTGTTGTGTGAACAACTTAATTAATGACCTGTCATACTTTCTAATAATCATCATGTCAAGTGTGAATAACAATATAAATCAATAAATTGCTTCACTTTTTCTGGGGGTTTCTCCGCAGTTTTGTAACACGAAGAACCAGTAAACATGATCAAAATATATTTTCTTCAAAATTTTAAAGGTTTCCTGTCAAATGAGACCATGTACTTGATGATACCCTTTTTCTAGTAAAGGTATAAGCCATTACTTTTAAGTAGGCCAATGCCACTTACACGTGAAATAATTAAAAATGCCTTCAGGGTGTAAGGGGTTAACAGTGACAGTCAACAGAGAGCTTACATATAACTTATATAAAGCTTGAAGGATCGAGATTGGCTGATCATGATGAAAAGAAATTGGTAGTCGGTATCCGTTGCAAAAATCCTGATCGGAGCATCCCTCATTTTTTACAAAGATATTTACATTTGTCAACAAGACCACCAAAACAATGTATGTTTTTTCCATTTCATTTGATAATTTCAATATTAATAATTGACAGCCACAGTTTAAATTTATCAGTCACTCAAGGCCCTTTAGTTATTGCCTTGGGTATCGATTTAGTATTGATATTGAGGTTCCAAGGCTGTACTGTACCAAAGCCAAATTTCTGGTATTGATTCAACCCCTAGTGTCTCATGATGATGACATCACCTGTCACAGCAGATCCCTCTCCCACTGAGAGATAATGGCACAGATATGCTGATCCTGCACTGGATGTGCTGACAAGATTAAACACACACACGTAAACGTATCTAAAAATAGCTGGACTCAGTTAAAGCAGGAGAGTCCAACAATTCTGCATAATGGCATTTGCCAATATTAAAAACAAAATGGACATGCACAAAGAAATCGCAGAAACACACTTACAGTTTGAGAACAGCTGATCGCTTGCCAAGCATCATTTTCACAAAGTCCCTGTAGTTGATGGTGTCGCTGACGCCCCCTGTCACCTCCGAGATCATTTTCTTCATCTCCAGGTGAGTCTTTGGCACACCCAACTTCTCCATCATTCGTTTCATGCCCATCATGTCTGGCAAGGAAACGCATACAGCCATCACACAAACACCATCATACCAACAGAGAACTACTACACACAGACTCTCACAGCTTGACAGATAGATCTCTAATAAAGATGGCATGGCTGACTAGTTGTCCATCATTATTTAGCCCAAATATTTGTTGAATATCTGTCATTAACCCCTTTGAAGGACTGCATGGCCTATACACATGCAGATGGATTTGTGGTATCAAGATAAAAATGGTTTAATAAAAAAAAAAAAAAAGAAAAAAAAAAGAGTCCTCTAAGAAACAGATTGGCAGAATTAAAAAATCGGCCTATTTATAAAGAGTTTACTTAAAACAGTCTAGTATGTAGTTTTGCACAACCACCCTAACACTCACAGAAATGCATTTAAACTTTAGCAATGTGCTGGGTGTGTGAAACAGCCACAGGGTTGACACTTCAACACCAAACAAAGAACTGTCACTGTTTATCTGCCCACATCATTTGCATTAATGGAAAGATGTCAAATACTTATTTTATCCTCGTGTATTAAATTGTTGTGTCCCATATTGTACAGTATGCAGCTCTCTCTCATATAAACATACTTGCTAATCAGAAACCACACATTTGTGCAAGTATACCATGAATCATCCACTTAAGTACCCTCATTTCTGTGGCACAAACTTTCAGCTGTTTGGATTCACAATCAGGAATGATGGCCTATGCCACTTTCCTCCAACATCTGATATGGGCAAGCCTGTCATTTGCATATAAATGCATTTCTGAGTGAAAAAGAAGTGGAAAATAGGACAGGATTTAATTGAGCTATGTTATTACTTATTTATCACATATATACAATATATATATATATATATATATATATATATATATATATATATATATATATATATATATATATATATATATATATATATAATTAGATAGTGTATTAGTAATATTATTATTTATTCCCACCTACTTTACATTGTGGTTACATCAGTCACAGAGTTGTATTAGATGTTTTAATTGTTTACATTGTGAAAATTGTTTTTAAAAAAATCTGCATTTTTCATCAGTGTGTTGATTTTCTTGAAACTGTTGCTCAATCTTTATTCCATGTTGTTTTGACAATGAAACTGAAACATGTTGTACAATGCAAATTTACAGCACACAGCAACTTCTCCATATCTCTTGAGTCACTCCTACTCTTTCTACAGCACATGACAGTGACCATTAAGTTGATTACAGGTGTGTTCTCATGTTTCCCATCTATCAAGCATGGTATCACCTACACAGTGGGCATGACAAAAGAGCCCTTCCTCACTAAAACTCAGACTTAACTACACATGCACACACACACTTACCGATATCCCCCTGATCGTTCAGGTCAAACTCTGCATATTTATCTGTGGATTGAAAAAACAAACGACATTTTAATAGTTCAGCAAGAACAATGCAAATGTACAAAGCATAAAAACACACACAAACACAAAACAGGGGGAATCAGAGGAATTTTGGAAAGCCCTGCATTTCTCAGCTATTTTAACTGAAATTAGGCCTTTATTTCACAAAAGGATGGCCAGCTATATCTGTAAATGAGGACAGCTAGTACCAGATCTGAATCATTGTCCTATTTGGTTTTGCTAGATTATTCTAGTTCCAGAGTATTTCCTCTCTCTCTCTCTCCTCCTCCTCCTCTCTCATTCTGTGTTGTTTCAATATCACAATGTAGCTTCTGTTGGAGTGGACACATTGAAAGTGTAACGGAGTCACCGTGAGAGGAGGCTGATGGGAAGGAGAGGGTTACAATGGCCCCCTGTGAACACAAACACAGCCTGTTCAGCCCCGAGCTGAATGAGTGCGTGTGAAACAGAGCTGGTCCATCGAAATGCACTGACGCTGCCTAAATGTAACTCATAACTTTCCCTGTCTGAATCACTATCTCTCTAAATGGTTTTATTTTTTGGATAGCATCCCCTTATTTTCAACTGTAGCCTATTCTATTCCTCCAAACACATTTCGTTTCTGGATATAGCTAGGGCAGTGGCATACACACATACTGACATTAGTGGGTCAAACACTGCGGCAAGTGCTCAGACTGTGTGTGTGAGAGAGAGAGAAAGCGCGAGAGAGAGAGAGAGAGAGAGAGAGAGAGAGAGAGAGAGAGAGAGAGAGAGAGAGAGAGAGAGAGAGAGAGAGAGAGACAAGCCTTCATTTCCACAGTGTCAAGAGCAATCTCAAGGGTTGAGCTCTACTCCTGTCCCTTGTGCCTTTGACTTCTGTCCTTTCAGCGGTTTTCTCCCTCTGTTTAACAAGAAATTAGGGGTGCACAATATATCGAAATTATCGAAATATCACAATATGCATATCGCAACAGCTTGCAATCACTGGGGTCATGAACAAAAGACAAAGAGAAAATCACTCACTGCTCTTGGCTGAATAACTTTTGTAGCTTTAATAAGAATCAGTATATTTATTTCATACAGTGAAAACTAAGCAGTTTTATTTTTACATTTGATTATTCAGTTTCTGTTGTTAAATAAACCTAATGTAGGCCTACCTGAAACCCTAAACCCAGTGGTTTACACTGACTTCTTATGCTACAGTAAAATATGAGGTGCCCCTAGGGACATTATTCAGAATTACCTTGCATATACATGTACTTTTCCTCTCACATACACATATAAAACCAAATTCATTCACATACTATAATGAAATGCTCACACACATACAAGTGAAATGCTTTGACAACCACAACTGAAACGCTCTCATACATACAACTGAAAATATTACGCTCACACACACAACTGAAACGCTCACACACACACACAACTGAAATGCTCTCATACATACAACTGAAAATATTATGCTCACACACATAACTGAAACACTCACACACACACAACTGAAATGCTCACACACATACAAGTGAAATGCTTTTACAAACACAACTGAAACACTCTCATACATACAACTGAAAATATTACACTCAAACACACAACTGAAATGCTCACACACATACAAGTGAAATGCTTTTACAAACACAACTGAAACGCTCACATACATACAACTGAAAATATTACGCTCACACACACAACTGAAACGCTCACACACACACAACTGAAATGCTCTCATACATACAACTGAAAATATTATGCTCACACACATAACTGAAACACTCACACACACACAACTGAAATGCTCACACACATACAAGTGAAATGCTTTTACAAACACAACTGAAACACTCTCATACATACAACTGAAAATATTACGCTCAAACACACAACTGAAATGCTCACACACATACAAGTGAAATGCTTTTACAAACACAACTGAAACGCTCACATACATACAACTGAAAATATTACGCTCACACTCACAACTGAAACGCTCACACACACACAACTGAAATGCTCACACACATACAAGTGAAATGCTCTCACACACACAAGTGAAATGCTCACACACATACAAGTGAAATGCTTTTACAAACATAACTGAAACGCTCTCACTCACACAACTGAAAATCATTTCAGTATGTTATATGCAAACATTTCAGTATGTTGTATGAAAGCATTTCAGTTGAAACGGAAGCACATTTCAGTTGAAACGGAAGGTGGTTAGAGTCCCCGCCCACTCCAGCAGGGTTGCCAGATGTCAAGGTTTTCCATCACAAAACCTTGCCAAAAACTGCGAGAATGCACAAAAAACCGCCCAAATTTGTTTTGGCTTGTTTCTCGTTTAAACACAGTGAAATCATTAACAAGCTTCAAAATTACCCATGGTCCGTGTACTTTTGCGTCCATTCGTTTTTCCCTTTTTAACCCGTGATTGAAAAACGAAAAATGGTTGTTGTAGGCCCTATTTTTAAAACGCAAAGTTGAACACCAAAATTTGAATTTGAATTGTATACACCACAGGGCTCGACATTAAGGCTTGTCCGGGACAAGTGGATTTTTTGTATGACAAGTAGCCTAGAAGAGAAAATTAGTTGTCCGACCGGACAAGTTAAATTTCAAACAAAATAAAATGCCATGTTACTTCACGTTATGTGCCACTCGTTACGTCTATTTTACAGATTTAATTTTACCGATTTGAAACGAACACATTTTTTCGCGCTGCCTGTGAATGTCCTGAATGTGACTCACAGAAAGACGCGCGCCAGTATAATGCGCATGCACAGACCGCGCGCCAGAAGTTCTCTTTCGCGCTTGAACGAACATCAACAACACACACAATTAAGCCAAAATGTCATTTGTCGAGTATCTTCATAACATAAGAACAGTCTTATGATGGACATAAAGAGTTGTGACTCGTGAGAGAATGAGGCGCGTGTGATATCCGCGTCTCTGTCCACAGCGGCTGCTCTTAAAGGGCCAGCTACCAATAAAGCGTTCTGTCAGTAAAGTTACTGAAAGAACAAAGGGAACAGAGAAAATTACTCACTGCTCTTGACTAAAGAACTTGTGTAGCTTCAATAAGTAGTAGTCTATATATAATTTATAATTTATGCAGCCCAGACTGTTTGATAACTTTATTCAACTTCTGTATATGTCCTACCTGTTAGACAGTTAATTTTTATCCAGACATCAATGGCTTATTGATCATTATAGGTGTTATCAATCATTTAGTTGTTATTGCTAATTTCAGAATTATCACTAATCTGTGTGTGCATTTGGTTTAGAACCAAATAAGTTGACTCATGAAACCATTTGTTTATTATATCGCAATCGCACATCACAACCGCAATATTGAACTCAATAATCGCAATATGACATTTTCCCCAAATCGTGCAGCCCTAGATAAAATTATAAATCTTTACCCGGACAAGTGACTTTTGTGCATGGACAAGAGAAACATAAATTTACTTGGCCGAAGGACAAGTGCCTCAAAAAGTTAATGTCAAGCCCTGCACCAAATGCTACGCAAAAAAATAAATGTTGAAGTATTTTCCGATTTTTGTATGTGACTTTTTGCCCCTTTATTAAAAATTTAAAATATTCACAAATTAATATGCAAAAAATTGATTTTACTGGTTTTCTAACTAAGGCCAAACCAGGAAATTATATTTTTCCCGCAGTGCTGAATGAAAAGAGCCATAGCCTACTCTCGAACCATACAGAGAGGTGATTTAGGCTATAGGTGATTTATAATCTGAAAAAATAACGAGGCTATACCTCCATCTCCGCTGTAAGGATGGGCCTTTAGAGAGAAATTCATATGGATTACATTATCAGACGGTATTTGCTTTCGATTCGAATTGGTTCTTTAAAAGTGGACATTTCAAGCTTTAGCCTACATAGGCTATATTTTGTTTCAGTTCATTTTTGAGATGCGATCACGGAGACCATGAAAGCTCGCCTGATTGTTTTATTTTATTTTACAAAAGCACAACGTTTTCTTGTTATTGTGAGTTTACACAAATAAAAGTAGTTGCGAATGATGTATTATTGTTTTCTGTATGACCAGAAATTATAGAGTATTTTAAGTTGTTTTCACTGCTGATAGGAAAACGCAAGTGTTCGCGCCTCCGTGCCATGCAGTGCGCGCTCCACACTCGCACAAACCCTTGGATAAGCGTCACAATCTTTTGTTTATTTGTAATAATCTTAGCCCTGTATTATTATTGTCTAACCTGTATTATGACTGACATTTGACGAATGCTTTGTTCCTTTTTTGGATAAAACCGTCTTCTAGCCTAAATGTAGGATAATAATAATAATAATGGCAATTATTATTTGCGGTTATAACTATAAATGAGTTCACTTAAGACAGTAATTATGTTTCTCATAAAATAATTTATTAATGTTTTATTTTTTATATAACCTGACATTTTACAGTTTTTGAAATGTTTTTGTTTTATGTTTATTTTTTATGTGAAGTCTTTTCTTTTAATTATTATTATAGTATACTGAGCTTTTTCCTCCCACCCCCCAAAATGACTTTAAAGATGTAAATGTTGTTTTTTAGAAAATTCAAGAAATTACCAATTATCAAATGTCAGTCATAATACAGGTTAGACAATAATAATACAGGGCTAAGATTATTACAAATAAACACAAGATTGTGACGCTTATCCAAAGGTTTGTGTGGAGCGCGCACTGCATGGCACGGAGGCGAGAACACTTGCGTTTTCCTATCAGCAGTGGAAACAACTTAAAATACTCTATAATTTCTGGTCATACAGAAAACAATAATACATCATTCGCAACTACTTTTATTTGTGTAAACTCACAATAACAAGAAAACGTTGTGCTTTTGTAAAATAAAATAAAACAATCAGGCGAGCTTTCATGGTCTCCGTGATCGCGTCTCAAAAATGAACTGAAACAAAATATAGCCTATGTAGGCTAAAGCTTGAAATGTCCACTTTTAAAGAACCAATTCGAATCGAAAGCAAATA